GAGAGGTTGAGTGAGTTTCCTAAGGTCACCCAGTCAACTCATGAAAGTTAAGATTAGAATGTAGCTTTTAGAAATGCCCCATCATGCTGTCTTCCATTCAGCATTCTTCCAAGATTCCTTGCTGTTGTTCCCTTTAATTTACTAGGAATCTCGTTATACACATTTACTTCAAGCTTCTCAGACTAAAACTCTCAAGCCATAGAAAAAAAATATCATACAGTATTTTTTTCAGAGCTCCTTTATTAAATGATGAGTTGTCAGTGATGAATCAAGATTCTCTCCAAATACAAAGGAACTCTGCTGTAGATAATATATTTATTTATTTCCATTCAGCTTTGGAATGAAATCTGTGTTTTTATTTGTATGTGATGGTGTATATTTTGGGAGTCTATGCTAAGCAAAACACGTCCACTTACTTATTGGATTTCTTGTTTTTCTATTTTTCTTGAGACTAGAAAGGGTTATCTCTTCAACTGATGCACAGTACCGATTTAAATAAAGACACTCTTCATTTGTGCTTTCAGCTTTATTATACCTTTGGTGGGAAGAGGATAGGGCTGCTAATTGGCATATTGGTTTAAAATGAAGATGAAACTCCTTTCCTAGGAACCTGTTGGACAATAAATTTCAATTTTAGACATAGTAAATTTCAAGCTTTCACAAATAAGTTGGAAATAAGATTTTTTTCATCAGAGAAATAGTCAATTCAAGAGGGTGGTCTTGAAAAACTAGGACTAAGATGATTCGATTTGATTCTTTGGCTCCTTAATCTTATTCCTGTGGACACTTCCACCAATGTAGAACTAAAGCAATCCAAGCTTTCTCATACTATGCAGTAGTAAGCAATAGATTATGTCTTTGCATGACTCCATCATCAAAGATCTACCCTATGGAACTTCTTCCAATGCTTTGGCCTTTTGTGGATTCTCATGTAGGTTATTTTTGTCTTTACATCTGCCTTGTGACTGACCCATCCTTGCCAGTCACATGTCCCTGATGTTTGTCCCCACAATATTGGCCCCTAAGACTTCATCAGTAGCAGGTTATTCCCTATTTACACCTACCCCACATCATTCTTTTGCTCTTCAATCACCTGCAAGTTTGAGTTTCCTGAGATCATGGTGTGCCATGAATCACCATGTTACATGGTAAACCAGAAGACTGGTGTAAGACTTTTGTGACTGTGAGCAACTTGACATCATTTTGATGTGGGAAGTAGTGTGAAACTTTGATTTGTCAAAACAAATTGGATCTGGATTTCTGCTAATGCCTTTGTCATTTCTTAGGTCACTGCAAAAATAGAGTCCATTCTTTTTCCATTTAATAACATCTTATTGGGCAGCTAGTTGGCTCAGTGTATCCATTGAGCCCCAGGAATCAGTAACAGTTCAGATCCAGCCTCAGACACTTACCAGTTGTGTGACCCTGGGTGAGTCACTTAACCCCGTTTGCCTCAATTTCCTCATCTGTAAAATGAGCTGGAGAAGCAAATGGCAAACTACTCCAGTATCTTTGCCAAGAAGACCTCAGATAGAGTCAAAAGAGTCCGACACAACTGACTGAACAACAACAAAAAGCATCTTAACATACACCTCAATCTGACGTCACTTAGTTGACTCTCCTTCCACACCCTGAGGTTCACCCAAGAAATCTGTTTTTCAGTTTCTGTTGATGTTTTTGTCTGTTTTATCATGATGAAAGAATGAAATAAGCCATTCTACTTTCAATTGCCAATTAAAATATAAAATATAAAATATGGCACTTTAAGTGTTTTTCCTGTACAAACAGGAATATGCCCATTTATGTAGCATTGTGACTTTGTTCTTCTCACTGGGTGCAGATATAATTTCTTGATTTCATTTGAAATAGTCATACGAAATCAAAAGCTTTAATTATAACTGCTGAAAGTTCCCCCCCCCCTTCTGTACCATTTTATTTATATTTTAACATTTATTTGGTAGATCTTGTGTGTCAAGTTGCTGCAGAATGGAAAATATTTTGTCATTATTCCTGCTATAGCTTTTTTAGGGGGCTGTGATTTGAATTGGATTTGAATTTCTTGGAGTTTATTTTCCAGTGCATTTGAATATAATGTATTTTCAGAAATAGCTTAATGATTTTCCTACTCTTGATGAGTATATCTTCTGATTTAGCTGCGTGCACTTTAAAACAGCCACAGACTTCTTTTGCCACTGTTGTGGTCAGAAACCAGAGGGATTATATCAGTATTTATCGTAAGGAAGAATTGTGGGATTCCCCCACAATACTGTCAGTTTGGCACTTGACACTGAATTAATGTTATATTGCAGAGTATCCCAAAAGTCTTTGTATGCAGCAAGACTTTTGAGACAGATATTGTTTGTAAAACTGAATTGTAAAAATGTGTTAAACTATGCCCATACAAGCTACTCATCAGAGTAGGCTGAATGCAATTCACTGAGTTACCTAGCTGTGGCTTCCTCCAGGAGGATTCCAGCTTCTTTGCCTTGTAAACAGTGTTCCCTTCATTTTAAAATAATTGTGAGCCAACATCTGTGCTACAAGATCAACGAGCTATGAAGACTAACCTTCACGGCCTAACGTAAGAAAATAAAATTTAATGTCAAAATGTACCGGCCTGTGTGCTGACATCCTAGAGTATGCTTGGCTTAAGTCAGGCCAGCCTGTTTGGCTCTGCTGCAATTCGTTTGATAGATGTTGGATCCCTGATGAACTGGGGCAGAGCATTGTCCAGGAGCTACAAATTAGCCTTTCTCTTAACATCTCTCTTCTTCCCTCCCCTCACCCCTTTGCTCTTGCTATCTCAGTTATGCATCGAAGAATTCTGAGAAAGAGAGGCAGCAAGATTGACTAGAGAAGTGACCTCCAGCGCCAGGAGGATCTGGCTTCCTATCCTGCCTTTGGCACGAAGTCTGTGTTGACCTCTCACTGCTCTTGACAGTTGTTAAAGAGAAGGTGCCACCTGTGTTATTAAGAATGAATTTTCTTATCTAGGAATACTTTAGGATTGAAATCACAGGTCTAAAACCTCTGTTCTTTCCTGTCCTACCAAGTTTCCTTTAGAGATTCAACAAGAAAAGCTTTGGGGAAATAGCACAGACTCGTTAGTCATACATATCTTTGCTGGATTAGTTTAATCAGCTTACTTCCAACTGGACCAACTTAATTTTATCCTATTTCTTGTAGGAGGCCTCTATAACATCAGACTAAATGAGTACTCATTGAACTAGTATTTGAATAGTGGTCAGATTTGTTTACCATCACGCCTGCATTTTTAGTCGAAGTTTAAAAATGAAGGTAACTGCTGAAAACATGAATAATTTCCTTGAGAGGAAAGACTATTACTAATCCTACCTGTTTTTGTAAATTTAAGGCCTCTCAGAAACAAATCATGGGGAGCGGAGTAGAGCTGTAGGAATCTGGAAAAAAGGAGTGATTTGAAATTTGGCATTTCTTTTTGTTCCTGTTGTTTTGGTGTTTGATAGAGAAGGGAATGGGGGAGAATTACATCCAAATTCTTTTACTGATAGAGCAGACTTTGAAATTAGTGCTAGCCTAGCCCCATTCCCAAACACCACAAAAGTTCCTCCTCTCCCTCATTGGTGGCGTTAGACTTTGGTTGTGCAGAGTTGCTGCATGCTGTGGACAGCCCAATCTCATGTCTTCTTAGATGGAATATACTATTCCAAACCCTTCTAAATCTTTTTCAAGCCGTGATCAAAATTAATGTATTTAAGAACCTATTCAGTAATTAAATGTAATAATAACATTTAGCTTTTTACCTTCAAAGCCTTTTGTAAGCATTAATTAATCTCTATAAGATCCCTCTGGGGGTCAGGCAAATGTTTTGTTTCATTCCTGTTTTGCAGAAAGGGAAACTGAGTTACAGATACTTATAAACCTCTTATTAGCCCATGGGTAGGTGGTAGGAAGGGGATTGAGATGGGAAGAAAAGAAAGGATCACTATCAAAGCTCACTCTTCCTATGCCTGTGAAAAGGAAGAAGCTTCCTGCTTTCATATTTAATTTTACCTTGATTTGCCTTGTTAGATGTTGCATTAAAAAGGTTTATTTTTAATGCTATTCAGGTGGTACACAATACTATGTGTGTCTTACCTGTTGTGTGTTTTGGTAGACCATTTGTGTTCTCCCGCTAGCCTCTTGCTACCCCAGCTGTTGTTGATGTATCTATAGCAAGGCTGACTGTCTTTTATCAGTAGACAATATGGCATGAAGAGGTCCTAGGAATGCCCCTGTCTCCTTCACGGATTCTCTTCCAACCCCCCAAAAAATGGTTTCACTGCTACAGTGCCATTAGAAAGGCATAATCTGGGGCAGCTGGGTGGCACAGTGGATAGAGCACTGGCCCAGAAGTCAGGAGGACTTGAGTTTAAATCTGGCCTCAGACCAAACACTTGACACTTAACTAGCTGTGTGACCCCAGGCAAGTCACTTAACCCCATCTGCCTTAAGAAAAAAAAAAAAAGGCAAGATGAGAGGAGAAAGGCATAATTTTGGTTAAAGGCATTTGTGTGTTTATGTATCCTCAGAAAAGGCAGATATTCTTAAGGGTTTACACTTACACTATTAGCCATCCTGAAGTGATTGAACCTATAGTGTTAATCAAGTTATTATGGATAGAGTAAATTTTGATTGATGTGAGAATAGATAGTATTTTAGAGCTTGGGCACTGCCTACAGACTGGCGAGGGTCAGCCTGAATGGAAGGGCCTTGATAATAACATCAGGACCCATGCCATCTGTTTGGAAGAAAGGAGGGAAGGGAGAGAGAGAGGTGATGAAAATAAAGCGGGGAGCATTCTGAAGACTAGGGCCTCTTCACAATCATGCCAAGCTTTGATTCCTCAAGCTGTTTTCAACCATTATTTAGTTTTATAAAACTGTTGATGCTTCTTTGATTTTGTGCAAATATTCCGAAAATGCTGAACTGTAAACAAACCTCTCCTTTTTTTGCTGTTTTGTCCTCCCCCCACCCCCAAGGCTCAGTTAATACATGACAGAAACACTGCAGCGGTGGCCAGGACCAAAGCAGTAGCTGCACCAGAGAAGGTTCAGATGACCTGGACTAAGGAAAAACTGGCCTCTGAAAAACATAAAAACAAAGACCCAAATGTAGCTGGATTCCGAGACATTTTCACTTTGAAACCGTGAGTAGCTGTATTGACCTTTTGGGTAAATTCCCTACTTTATTTAGCAAAAATAACATAAAAAGAAAGATGAGATGCCCTTTGACTATTGGTGGTACTCAGGCAGTACGGAAAATTCTAGTTAGCCTGGAGAACAAAATGCTCCTTATTCAATTTAATAAACATTAAGTGCCTACTATGTGTCAAGCACTGGGCTAAGCTGTTTTCTGTAAATGATGGGAAGCAAAGAATCAAGTATCTACTTATTTTGTTTTCCCCAAAGTTCTAATTTTGCACAAAGACCTGAAAGATATGAAGGGATGTCTTTTCCCCCTTCAAATACAACCAGAGCAAATCAGAGAAATACATGCTAGCCGTCTCCTAGAAATAAGGCTTAATTTCTTATTATTGCCTGTTGGTCCGTTACCTTCCAAACCATTATTCTTCATTTTTGTATGCAGACAGCCTCATGTCTAGAAAAGTAAACTTTTGGTTACGTGGAATTAGCACTAAATTGCTATTTTGACCTCATATCCCTTCGTGATGAACTGGGATCTGAAACAATGAAAAGTAATATTTTAAATAAGTTTATGAGAAAAGAGGTGATTTCCTTATGAGTCAGTCCACCTGTGGGTGGAAAGTGGGAGTCTCAGAGCTGGTTTCCTGCTCACCCCAGCACTTTTAGATGTCTAAATGCCAGGTTCTCTGTGACGTGGTTTATCAACAGGAAAGGTTCAGGGTTATCCTAGCAAAAGGAAGCACTTTATTGTCAAAAGGGGGGGGGGGGCGGTGAGAAGGGGCATAGAATTTTGCCCTAGCAGTAAGAATTATTCCCCTCAGGAAGGTAAGCCATTTTCTCTTAAGAAAGTGTTTCACTTACTTAACCTGAGTTCCCACAGACTTGAGCCCCAGGGAATTGTTTTGAAAATGTAATGTGTTTGTACCTGAAGTAACAATGTTTTATATATTTGTTTCCTTTCCATGTAGAGAATGGGGAAATCTGTAAGTTGCATTTGATTTATTTTAGGTTGTTTCCTGGTTTTCTAGTGTTTTACATTGCATGTCTCCTTCATCAAAAGCCCCTTCCATGAGTTACAATATATACCTGACCCCTGTGTTGAAGCATGTGAATGTGACTGGCACAATGTCTCCTGCAAGTTTGGGCTTTTGATGTTTTGCTTTTCTCCCACCCCTAAAGTTTTGTTCTTAATAAGTATATATAAATTTATCACCTGGATGGAAAATTGCAAAACTTTTGTCAAAGGTTTGGTCCCCCAGGTGGCTTTCCTCCATGAGGGGTAGAAGGATGTTTTTCCAAATCCTTATTTAATCAGTGCTGTAGATCCCAACTTCAGGTGTGCTAAGAATGCCTGGGGTGAGGGAAGAAGCAGTTGGTGATTTGAAGTTATTTTATGATCTAGTCAGTCATATACATTACCAAGAATAGGAAATGACTAAATCAGATGGTTTATAAAATGGCGCTGTAAAAACCTATCACAGATTTTTCTGCATATGAAAAGTGAGTTAGGCTAAGGAAACCATGTGACTATGGTAAATTTTTCACCTGTGGCATAAATGCCTTGTGTTTTCATTCTTTCTTCTTCCCATACTTAGTGGAATGGTAAATGGGTTCACTACCATACTTTGCTGGGGAATTTTCCTCTATGAAAACAATCACCTTGCTTCTACTTAAGCCTTTCACTTTCCTTATTGTTTTTAATATTGATATACTTTCTTTCTTTCCTGACCCTGCCCCCAGCAAACTATGTCTTATTACAAGGAATTACACAAAAAAAGAAAAAATGTTAGCAATACTAACGTGAATCTGACAGTATATGCAGTATTCCGCTTCTATAGTTCCCCACTTCTGCAGAGAAGGGTAAAGAGGTGCATTTTCTCATCTCTCCTTGACCAAGCTTGATTGATAATTATACAACATTCAGGTTTGTTGTTCTTCTTCCTACTTTGACTTCCATAGCTCTTACTCTGTTTCTTATTTTCCTTGCTCTGCTTACTTCACTTTGAATCGTTTCATAAGAGTCTTCTCATACTTCTTCTAGCCGTTGTTTCTCCAAGTACAATATTCCATTCCATTTACCTAGTACAATTTGTTTATCCATTTCCCAGCTATAATAGGTCCTCTTTCTTGACCTGTCTGCTCCCCTAATTTTTTTTAATGTTTTGGTTACAGTTGAATACAGCACCTGAAAAAGTGTTCAACTTCATTCCATAACATTTTCTGGATTACTTTTTCCTTTAAGCTATAGCAGTACACCCTTAAGGTTAAGATTTAATATACTAATGAAGTGCAACTTCGCCCCACTGCTTAGAAATGGCATACCAAATTATCATGGATGGTAACTTTTGGTCCATTAAATAATAATTTATGTTTTTGTTGAATATATTCAAAAAAAAATTGGAATGAAGGGAATTCATCAGATAGTTCATCAGATAGACAGTCCATCAGATGGCATATCCTTCCTAAAATGTGCCAGGACCAATATTTAAAATAAATAAAAACCCTTGATGCACCTGAAAATCTTTGTTTTTCTGAAGTCTTACACCTCGGAAGGGGAACGTTTTGGCTGTCTATTCATCAGCTATCGTCTAATGATCCCAAAATATAAGGGATGTATTAGCACTACTTGATTTTTTAAATTAGCTACATTTCAGGGAAGTAGCTTTCATTTGAAACCATTTTTATTTCAAAATAATCCAAATTAATTTGAGTAGTTACAAAATTTTTTAAGATGAGCAATTTATTTCTATCCAAGTCTATTCATTTTAAGTACCTCTTAACAATGGTCTGAACATTTTGGAAATAACATGTTCTTCCTATGTAATTTGTCAGAAATCCTTTTCCAGTTTCCCCATTAGCTAATTGGGAAAAAGTTTGTGGACTTGAGTACTTGGCTCAAAGTTAATGTTACAAACAAGTTTGAGTATGCTTTCACCTTGATAACTTCTGCAAATTTGGCAGAATAGGACCCAAGTGAAAGTAAATTCTACCACCTGTATTTTAAACTCCTCTTGGCCTTGTAAAAACAAATATGGCTGGCAAATTTATGACATGTATCCCTCAACTTAGTGGGAGATAAATAATTTTGTATAGGGTGAGCTGATTCCCCCTTTGCTTCCCTTTTGCTTTGTGCAAACTCCACTATGTAAACACATTTTAAGAACTATATTCTATACAGAATTTTCTGTAAATTATGTTTGCCAAAGAGAAAATTGAAATTTAAAAATGAGAGTGTGAACACAATCAAGGCCATGATCCCTTATTCATTTCATCACACTTATTTATTCCATCTGATTATGGTCATTCCACCTTTCTTGATACTATTAATAGTCATTAAGCATTTTTTAACACTTAATTTTCAACAAGCACTGAGCTAAGCACTGGGAATTCAGAGAAAGGCAAAAAATAGTCCCTGCTCTCAAGGAGATCAGAATCTATTAGAGGAGAGACAACATGCAAGCAACTATGTGCAGGATAAATGGGAGATAATTAACAAAACGAAGGTAGCAGCATTGAGGGGGATTGGGAAAGGCTTCTTGTATCAATAAGGGTTTTAGCCGAAACTTGAAGGGAGCCGGGGATGAAGGTGAGGAGGGAGAGAATTTGGAGTTTGAGGAACAGCAAGGAAGCTGGGGTTATTCAATAGCAGAATATGTGGGGAGGGGGAGTAAGGTATGGAAAGGGAGCTAGGTTTTGAAGGGCTTTGAATGTCACAGGATTTTGTATTTCATCCTGTTGGCAGTAGGGAGCCACTGGAATTGATTGAATTAAGGAGATGACATGGTTAGACCTGCACTTTTAGAAGAAGATCAATTTAGCAGCTAAATGGAGGATGAACTAAAAGTGGAGAAAGTCTTGAGGCAAGCCAGGAGGCCTTTTCAGTAGTCCAAGCATGAGATGATGAAGGCGTGCACCAGGGTGGTGGCTGTGTCAGGAAAGAAGGGGGGGTATATACACGAGAGATCTTATGAAGGTAAAATCGATTGGACTTGGCAACAGATTCGGGGGTTAAGAAGAGTGAGAAATCATATGATTGCTAGGTTATGAGCCTGGGTGCCTGGACAGTGGTGGTGTACTCAACAGTAGTAGGGAAATTAGCAAAGGAGGGAAGGTTTAGGGGAAGATAGTAAGTTCAGTTTTGAATATCCAGTTAGAGGTATCCAAGACTAAGTTGGAGATGCAGTCTTGAGGATAGGAGAGAGGGTTAGATAAGTAGATCTTGGGTAGAGATAAGATCACTAAGCAAATAGAAGACAAGAGGATCTAGGACAGACCCATAGGTGATACCTACAGTTAACAGATAGAACTTGGATCTGATGAAGGAGAAATCCAATGAGTAAGAAGAGACCCAAGAGAGAGTAGCATCATCAAAACCTAGAGAGAAGTGAATATCAATGAGATGAAAGTGATGGACAATATCAGAAGCTGAAGAACAGCCAAGAAGGATGAAAATTGACAAAAGCCCATTAAACTTGACATTTAGGAGATCATTAGGAGATTGAGCAAAAGGAAGTAGAGGCAACTATTTTAGAAAGCCTTCTCAAGGGGAGTTTAGCCACAAAAGGAGGAGAGATGCAGAATATTTAACTAGCAGTGCTGAATGGATCAAATGAGGAGTTTTGGGGAATGGAATTGTTAGCAACAGGGGGCCAACTAATAGCTGGGGAAAGATTGGAAATGAGTGATGGTAGAGGGTGGATATCTGCTGGAGGAGACAGAATGGCAGTAGGATCACTTGTGCACGTAGAGGGCTTTGCCTTGGCAAAGAGAATAAACACCTATTCCCAGGAGATGAGTGAAGGAAGCAAGAGTCGGGAAAAGCATGTGAATGATGTCCAGCAGAGAGGATTAGAAAGAGCTCTAGGCTAATGACCACAATAATATTGGTGAGAATGGTGCTTCAGACTTTTCTTCCTTTTTTCTCATAATTCTTTGAATTTTAGAAGTAAGTTTCCTTTTGAGATTGGGAATCTGAACTTCAGATTCTGAATTCCTTCATCCCCTCAACCTATTTTTGTTATGTCAGCCATGGCTGCAAATCAGTTTATCACCATTTGTTATAGAAATATATCCTTATTAAAGTCTTGTCTTTTCTGGATTAAAAAAAAATCCCATTGTTATTATTGATGCCTTTGATTCACTCATGTTAGAACAGTGGTGCTTGAAAATTAAAATACCAACAAAGGTGACTATCATCTCTTTTATCTGTCATTTTCATCAGTTTTCTCTTCAGGCCAATAACTGGTTCAAAATATTCTTGGTTATTTCATCATTTACCTGTAATGTACATGTATTAACTCTCTGCTTGTCAGATCTCATCTCTCCATTTGCTGTAGTGATCATCCTTTTCTTATGTAGCTGATCTTTTCTTGTGCTGATAAAGGGTAATTCTTCTGTTGTCAAATAAGGACCTTTATAATACTCCTTTTTTGTCTCCCTTTTTTTTTTTTGGCTAGGCAGTGAGGTTAAGTGACTTGCCCAGGGTCACACAGCTAGTAAGTGTTATGTGTCTGAGGTCAGATTTGAACTCAGCTTTTCTCAGCATTGCAATGATCCACGACAAGTACAAAGGAGTCACAAAGGAAAGTGCTATCCACATCCAAATAAAGAACTGATGGACTCTGAGTCCAAACTTTAAAGCACTATATAAATGCTAGCTATTTCCTGTATATGATTGTTATCTAGATTTAATGTATATTTATGGTGTATTATAATCTTTGAGACACATCTTTTAAAAAGGTACTATTTATTGAATTGGCATGGGATGTTGAAGGGGCCCTATATCCTTGAGTGCCTTGGAGAGAAAAAACAGGCCTTCAAAAGAAGTAAATAGTTGAGAGATAACTGTTTCCTATTTGAACCTTCAAAAATGATCTTTTCGAAATGGTTCTTTGGCATACAGAGATAACCTTAAAGATTCCAAACTTGCAGTTTTATTTTCCAAGCTTGCAATTTTCCAAAGGGTCTGGCCTTCCAAAGGATTTATTGTACATTTTTTTTTTTAACTACCTGTTTAGTGTTTCTGATGTCCTTTGTATGAAATTGATGTTTTCTAGCCAGAAGAGAAATATTACGAATTGTGAGTGACCTTTGTTCACTAGCCAGAACTAAAACCAGGTCCTAGTCTAATGCAATTATCATTCCGTTTACTTTATACAGTGTCATAATAGGGAGAGGGTTGGTTTTGTTCTCTGCTTGAAAAATTAGATGTATATTCTACCCATACATATTACAGTACAAATAGCACTGGACCATAAGCATCAGGGAACCTAGGCCTTAGACTTGTTTCTATGCCATTACCTGGGAAGATAGTGACCTTGGTCAAGTCACTTAACTTCTAATGTTCCTTGATTCTTAAACTCATACATGAAATAATATGTGCATGTGCACACACGCACACACACACATGTGCGAGCCCGTCCGCCAGCTTTTCTCAACATTGCAATGATCCAAGACAAGTACAAAGGAGTCACAAAGGAAAGTGCTATCCACATCCAGATAAAGAACTGATGGACTCTTGAGTGCAGAGTTTAAAGCACTATATAAATGCTAGCTATTTCCCATATATGATTGTTATCCAGATAAACAGCTCATAATTCTTACCTTTACAATCTTGAACTATATATGCAGACAACATCCATCTCTACCCCCCCCTCCCCCCAATTCATTTTGACTAAATTGGCTGGATTAAAAAAACACATTCATAATCCTATTCCTGATAATTGGAGTTTAAGAAAAATTAGTTGAATGGAGACATGTACTGTAAATGCATATTGCCAAGCTTGCGTTGCAAACCCTTGTGGGTTGGCCTTTTTTTTTTTTTAATTTTCGATGTGGCTTTTGTTATCCAAACCTTGCAGGATATAGGCATTCTCTTAATCTAAACATGTATCTTGTTTTCTGTTCATTAGATAATAGTTTTGTAGTTAATGTGCATGCAGCTGTGTATTTAATAACTATATTAGAGTGTCCTAATGTGATATGTATAAGTATACGTGCCTTGGATTGTTTAGTGTTCAATCTTCCAGAAGAGTTCTTGAGTTGACTGGTAATGGCATCAGTGACTTTCACACTGGTTAGTTTTTTTATCTTTATGTATAATGACAATTGTCATTCCCTCTGTTCTGATGTTTTTACTTAGGTGGTAAGTTATAGTTTTGTTTTTTCTCCTTATAAGATCTCAATAGGTGATAATATGACAGGAATGTTGAATTAAGGAAGACCAGTAGGGGGGAAAAAACAACTTATATTGATTTCCTGGGATCTAGAAATAATGCTAGATAGTGATGGTGTGACCTGTTTTTTCATGATTGACTTGGGTTTTATAATGAAGAAGGTTTGAGGTACAAGTGAAGTCATCATTTCATAAATGAGAAAATTGAAGTTCAAAGTCATTGTGATCTGCTGACAAGTATTAGAACTGAGATTTGTCCTTAGGACCTCTGTTTTGAAGACTAGTCCTCTTTCCCATTATGAGTAGGAGGAGCTGCCCCACTGGGGACCCAATTGGAACTGGCCAGTTGGGCAATGAGCTCCTTCCTTCCTTGTCCTTCTCTCTATCCACATAGGGTATCAGACCCCTTTCCTGTGGGTGCTCTGCCCAGAGGAATGTACATTTTGATCATTGAAACCTCGATCGTTGAAACCTCAAAAGATACCTTGGGATTTACAGGCTAGATTTTTTTCTTAAGGACCATGCCTTAAACCCATATCATTCTGGCCCTCATTGATGGTCATTGGATCCCAGGCCAAGCCCCAATTGGTCATTGTTTGGGCCCTGATTAGCTCACACTGAATGTAAATAGCAGTTGTTTCTATTTTTGGTCCCCCCCCCCCCCGCCCCTTTTTTTTAAATAGATAAAGGAGGCCATTCTCTGCTTCCATTTCTTACCTAGCCTTAATCACTGAGTGGGCATTGCCTCCAACTGAGATGTGTTTTAAAAAAAACAACCCAAAAAACCCTTAGCTTCAAAAGGCCAAGGTCTCCCAATGCATTCAGGGCCATCTGCAGTCATCTTGTTCTGTATCTTGCCATTGATCCCAGATGGCTCCAGAGGAGAAATGACTTTGCACAGCCCTCCCTCACTTAAATCCAGTTCACTTGCATGTGCTGGCATCGCCACCCAGGTGGCATATAGTCCTCTTTGAGAACAAAGGACAAACAGCAACACTGCACGATGTCTTGGGAATGACCTCTACCCAGGATTAATTGAGGACCTACTAGCATGAAGGGATCACTCTAATGAGTATTTCTGGTGGAAAAACTGGTTGATCATGGGTTCTTACTTTAATCTAAAAAAGCAGTGACTATCCATTAATAATTTAAATAATTAAGCATTGTAATAGCATCAAACAGAGGTGTGTCATTCATTTTAAAATCAAGCTTAATTAAATTTGGAGCTTTTTTTCCTCTCATGTCCTAAAGTTTGCTTGTTAAGATGAAAAAGACAAGTGATTTGCAAACCTTAAGGCACTATATAAATGCTAACTACTGGCCATTATTAAGGAGAAAAAGTTTTGTGTCTGATTTCAAATGTTTATCCTGAAAAATATATTTTTTTAAAAATCTCAGCTAAAATCATGGGATCAAAGATTTTGAGCTGGAAGGAACCTCAGAGACATCAGCGCTTTTATTTTACATATGAGGAATCTACAAATCATGGAAGTTATAATTTCCTCATGGTCACACACGTAGGCACCAAAGACATCAACGAAATGCTTGATTTGCAATGCACGTTAAACATGTATAGTAAAAGTGTTATCTGTTGCCTTAATATTGCACAGGTATATTTTCAAGATAAACATGATTTGCCATTAAGGTCCCAGGTTTTGTTTTGAAATGAGGAAGTTGGGTATAGCCTCTTCCCATTTCTGTAGCATATCTGTGGAATAGAAGTTTTAAGAAATAATTTTGTAGCTACTCTGTTCCTCTTTCAATGGGCAGAAAAAGTCTGTTGAATTAGTTGATTTCTATCGCATTCATACCCTCTCTAAGCAATGGAAAATAATACTGTCAACAGTATGGGAAAAATAGGATTTCTTGAGAAATGGTTGGTTTTTAAGTGAATAAGATAAGGCATGGTAGTGTTAAATGCTTCATTTCCTCTCACACACTAGAAACCAGTCCAACGTCAGGAGGATGCATACAGCAGTGAAACTTAATGGAGTTGTCCTCAACAAATCCCAACATGCCCAGCTGGTCTTGTTGAATATGCCTGGTCCCCCCAAAAATCGACAAGGAGATGAAAACTGTATCCTTTCTTGATGGATTTTATGCTGACGTAGACTAATAATGGTAACCTTTTGCAATTTTGTATTCATGGAGTCATAAATTTAGAGCTGCCAATGACTTTGGAGGCCACTGTACTCAACCCCCATTTTGCAGATGAAGAAACATAGCTAAGAAGTGTCAAGTATGGGATTTGAACCCAGGTCTTACTGGCTCCCAATTCCAGCACTCTGTTTACTGCACCACACTGCCTGTTCAATGGGTCTTTTCTCAGCTTTTCTTTAAGAGGAGTTTTCTGTCTGAACAAACAGTATAATTCAGCAGACGTTATTCATTAAACACCTTTTATCAGCAATGTGCTGGGGATGTAAAGATAAATGAAACTGTCCCTCATCTTCAAGGAATGTCGGTCTTCTTGTAGATAGAGGAAGTGAGCAGGCTGTCTTTGGGGAAAAGAGTATGCATAATTTTCAGTCCCTTATCACTTCTTTGTGCAGTGTGCATTACAGCCAGGTTGCTGAGAGAGAGGAATCCTGGCTGCTATAACAACTGCAATAATAATAAAATGGCTAACATTTATATAAAACTTTAGACTTTAAAAAGCATTTTACGGTTATTGTCTTCGATGATTCCCATAATCTGGAAGAGAAGTATTATTATCCCTATTTTACAGATGAGGAAACTGTGGCAGATAGTTTAAGTGGCTTGTCCAGGACTGCACAACTAGTAAGTTTCTGAGGCCAGATTTGAACTTGGACCTTTCTGGCTCTAGGCCTGGTATTCAATCCACTAAGCCACCTAGGTGCCTCTAGGTTTTTTCAGGCAAGAGCTCTGCCCGCTGTATGTTTATTCTCTACATGTCAAGGTAGAGGGTGGTGATAAGGCACAATTTAAAATGAAGAGGTGAATCCCATCAGCAAATGCTGAACTACTGAGACATGAGAAAAATAGTGTCTGTTAGAAATTTAAGATAAGCATAACAGCATATAATGAGGTGGGAGGGAGAGACAGAAAGACTGCAGAGATTGAATTACAAGAAAATACTAAATTAACTCAATGTACTTTGCTTGCCTAATAACATTTAATGGAAAGTGACATTATCCTCCAAATATTTGAAAAGCATGAAGGAGTCCCAGGGGCATAAGTAAGAATAATAGATGGGGTGAACTTGAACATGGAAAACTTTAGCCTTTATCAGATAAAAATGTCCAAATGGTGGTGATAATTGAAATACCAATAGATGATTGGGAAATAGTGGGGTTACTTGCCCTATCTGAAAACTGGATTTGTGTTAGTAAGTGAGCATGGAAGGAGGCCAGGTGATTTTGGCAAGTTTGTTGGACAAGGAGACCAAGATTATATTCCCAAATCACTAGTGTGTTGTTGGACTTTGATCACTGTACTTTAACCTCTGAGCCTCTGTTTTTTCCCCCATTATACACATGAGAGAAACAGTATTTCCCACATTACTGTAGGAGATGGAAGAAGGCTTTTATAAAGTGGCATCTGTTCTTGACATTAAAGGACTGAGTAAATGTATGATATAGCCAGTATTCTGAACATTCAGGCTCTAAGGTTTATGCTACTGCTTTTCCTGCCTTTGCACTGACCATTCTGTTTATTTAACATCTCCCTAGAACAGCTTTTCTCAAATTGTACATCACAGGAAGATTCCCTTAGTGGAATTAACTATACATATTCTCTTTCTTCCCAGTTAACTAGTGCCATCTTGGATCTGGGATTGTAAAGGCCTCCAGTTATGAACACTTTTCTTTCCCCTTCCCTTTCTCCTTATTCATTTAACACATTGATTGAGCACCTATTTACTGTGTACGAGAACTTGTAGAGGGGATGGATGATGCAAAGATGAAATCTAATCCTTACCCTCAAGGAACTTATAGTCATTATGAGATCACTTCACAAACAATAATGATATAAGGTAGAATGAGATATTGGCCATAAAAGAGGGAAGAACAAGTCTACACTGATTCTTGAGGGTTAAAGCATTAACATTGACTCTACAAGGCTTTAAGTATGAATACTCTTCATCACCACCCCTTCCCCACCCCCACTTTCACTGGAGAACTAATCATGGTGCATCTGAGCCATGGTCTTTCTTTGAGAAGCGGTAGGAAATTTGTACTTGAGTGCCCTGGAGGGTAGAGGTTGACTGGAAGTTTAATTATAGGTTTTTGTATGTCCCTCTTTGGTCACCATGGTCCACTTGGGTTATGTGTAGACAGAAGTTGGAGCCAATAGATATAGCCCCACAGGTGAAGCATATGTGTCTAGTACACGTAACTAAACACTGACCTTGATGCATAGGTTTTGCTTTTACATCTAACAGCATAACAAATGATTCTTTTAAAAAAAAAAAGTGGACTTGTATAAAAAAAAGGGAGATTGGACTGAATGAGGATATGAAAGGCCTAACAACTTACTAGTAAATAAGATGTGGTCTAGGTGTGGTTATGAATTTTCCTCCTCCTTTCCCTCCACTCAGCCCTACTGTACTCTTCTAGTACAGTGGAGAGAGAATGATACCTGGATGAACAGAAAATTCCTTTGGGAGGTCAGTCAACATGCATTTATTAAGTGGGGTGTGTGGGGTGAAGGGGTACACTCTGCTGGGAATACAAAGTAAGGCAAAAAACAAGGTTCCCAAGCTCGGGGATCTTGAATTCTAATAGAGGAGATAACATACAAATAACTATGTACATGCCAGATAGATACGATGGACATGGGAGGAAATGTCACCAGGAAGAGTAAAGGGGACCCAAAAAGGAACGATGAAAATAAGGAGAATAGTGGCTATGACCCAAGTCAGTTAAGTAATTCTGAGCAGCCCTGGTAAAAGGAGTATGAGAGGGCTGCTTTTTCTCCTTTAGGATGTAAGTTCCTTGAGAGTGAAACTATATCCCTATTGCCTAACACATAGTAGAAACTTTATGAAGGCTTGTTAAATTGAGTTTTCCAACCATTAACTTAAATAATTTGAGGTTAATGTAGGTTTTATTTATTCATGTATCCCTTACTATGTATTCATACCCCCTACTATGAAGCAGCTAGGTGGTGCAGTGGATAGAGTATTAGATGTGGACTCGGGAAGACCCAAATTCAAATCTGGCCTCAGACAGTTATCAGATATGTAACCTTGGCAAATCAAGGTTTAAAAAAAAAAAAAAAAATCTCTGCCTCAGTTTCTTCATCTGTAAAATGGGGTTAATAATAGCACCTTCCTCTTTAGGGTTGCTCTGAGGATCTAATGAGAATATATTTGTAAAGTACTCTGTGAATCTTAAATTGTTATATCAATGTAAATATTATTATTTTCATGGACGGACTAGATTAGCTGACATAGCCAGGCTAACAATAGAAAACAATGTACTCATTCTTTTATCATCTCAAAAATACAACCTAATTGACTTCTTGGTTTGGACCTCTAACCTAGTTGTTCCATTGTTTTTTGAGATCCTGTTAGGCTGTTTATGCCTTAGAGTTCCTCCACAAATTTACAAATATATAGAGTGCTAATAATTTTGTGATGCTTGTCTCCCTGTGAGTCCAAAGTGTTTGTGAAATAGTATTTCATCATCACTCGCCAGTAATTGCTCCCAATTTTGAGGTACTGACATGGTATCATTTTTTAAGATTAAAGATTTCTCTGACCACTTGTGTGGCAGATTCATAACCAAGGGAATTTGGAGGGGGGTGATTGTTGGTAATTAGTCTAATTATTATGGGCACACCCTTCCCCCCACATTCCCTCCAGCACTTCTCCTTCTTACAAAGCTCCTGTGCTCTCAGTTTATCTAATTTTTACTAGTGTTTCCTTGGTAGCCTGCTTCCCTTCCAATGAACAGGTTGAGAGAATGCAGAGACCAGCCCCCATTGAGGGAACTCACACTCTTTTCATTGGCAAAATGTGATACAGCTTATGTAAGTAGTTCTTAATAGAAACCAGAAACTGAAATATTTCCTTGAAATAAACAAAGACCTCAAAATTGGAAGCAATTATCTAATGCCTTTTCCCAGTAAGCACTCTGATTCCCTCAGATGGCTGCAGTCCCTAACGAGGAAATGGCTCCTCTTGGTCAGTAGCCGCCTTCAAAGCCCACCATGCCGGCCCTAGGTTTTTCAACTACCCTGCCGAGCATCATGGTTGGCCTCATAGCTTACTGTGTCATGAATCATAGCCCTGTTTTCAATTAGCTAACTACATACTTTGGTTACCCAAATGAGCTAACCCTGCTCATTTAGGGCATAGATGTTGCAGCAGTTTTAAGTTTCTGTCCCTGTTTAACATCATATCCAAAAATTGAAATTAACTTTCACAAGTTCTACTACTTTGTCTCTCCTCTCTCCTCTTCCCTCCTCCCCCCCAATAGTCACTTCCTCTCCCACATTTTCATTAATGAATACGCGCTTGGACTGGGACTTCCTGGTACAATGCAAACTGCTTTGATTAAAAAGCCAAAAAGGACCTGAGCTCTAATCTGCCACTTAGCACCTGGGTGACTTTTGAGAAATTATTAAACCTCTCAGCCTCAGTTTCCTCATCTGTAAAATGAGGGGTTTGGACTATGTAACCTTTGAGATTCCCTTCCAGCTCTAATGGTTCTTCTCTTTTCCCTTTTTCTGGTTTGCTTTTCAAGAATTACTTCATTTAAATTTAGTGAAGAATCGTAATTGGTACATTTCTATTGAACCTGTTCTGAACATTTATTTCCTGGAAATTAATTTGAATGGTTCTTCACTTGTTCCTTAGATAAAACTATAGTTATCTTAAAAAGGTAACAGTAGAATTTCAGGTTACTGGATTGAAAAGTTGACTGGTTCTTTCATTCATTCCCTTCTTCTTTCAACACCCTGGACCAATGATGTACCTTAATTCTAACCTCACAGACATGGAATTCTTAGAAGTTTTGACAGAAGGACTAAATCGAGTGCTTTTGGTGAGAGGTGGAGGCCGGGAGGTGATCACCATCTACTCCTAGTGCTGCCGGTGACCATCCAGAGCTTGTTTAGAACGTGGTGGCACTGAGTATCCAGGTGGATAGAAACACTGGACAAAGCAGGTCTTGGGTTCCTGGAAGTTGAACAGTTGAAATGTTCCTGTGTACTTGAAATGATATGCCAGCTTGATCTGCTGATCCAAATGTTATGCTTTTTTACAAAAAGAAGTGATATGATTTTTTTTTTTTTAACCTAGGGCAAAACTCTTGTTAATACTGAAGAAACTTTATCTGTCTGCACTGTTAAAAAGTCTGGGGGAGGGGGTTGGGGATAGGGGATATGAATGTGTGTGTGTGAGAGATGAAAAAAGCTTCCCCACCACCAACCTGATTTATTTGTAGTAACTGAACTATTAACAATCATGTTCTCATTACTTTATTGTACTATATATCGAGGGTGAAACTGATAGTATCTTTTTTAAAAAAAATAATCTTAAGTTGTTTTTGTTTCTGTTTTTTAACTGATACCAGGAAAGCTGAGCTTATTCAGTGATAAACTATTAAGTTGGCTAAAGCTGATATTTTCTGATTCTGGATTCAGATTTTTCTCGGGATGTGCCTATTAACAGTCTTTCTAACTGTTACATTTTAGCTTTACTAGGTCCAGAATGCAGATTTATAAGAAGTCTACTTTTGTTCTTGCAGTTTACTTTCAGGGTGTTGAGAGGTACATTTTATAAAGAAGTAAACTGGCTACTTTTCTAAAAAGTCATTAGTTTACCTTCCCCCCCTTTTTTTCCCTCAAATCATTTGACCAGCCATGTTAGTGTTTCCATGAGCATCCAGAGATGTTTCTATCCCTGCCCCTGGCACATCCCTGAAGTTCAGGTCCAGAGGGTGAGTCTTGGGTAGGGATGAGGGCCACACTCCCTTTCCATAACAGTAAGCCTGTGCTCAAACATCTGCTTTTGGTCAATGGAAGGCAGGCCATTCAGCTCCAGTTTTCTTGTAAGAGCAGCCAGCCAGTGTTGAGATTTTTTTTTAAAAAAGATATTTCCTTTGTAAGTCTTTATAAGTTATATGATGATCCAGGTTTTGTAAAACAACCCAAACAAATTCCTGTATTCTCTCTTTGATACCCTTTTTCTTTTCTACTTTTAAAAATGACTCAGATACCGCTATTGCCACCTGAACGTTTTGTCTCCCACTATTGCAGTCTTCACATTCACTTTTCTGGTTTGTAAATAATCTTTTGGTCTTTGAGTAAGCATTGACACTAGCTAGCTCTAGCCAGCGTCTTGGAAATGTTGCCAATGTCTGAAGTACCCCAAAGGGAAGCAACTTCACAGAGAGAAGTATCCTGAAAACAAAAAGTGCATTATGTGAAAAATAAACGAAATGCTTTTGAGACTCCAAGTGGATCTCTGAATGGCAAAGCTTCTTTAAAGCTTGTGGGCTTGCCAACATTTTTAGTGTCAGATATGCACACTTCTTTTTGCAGCTAGTAAGTATGCACTCTATTCCTAACCATTCATAATTAATAGCTGAGAAAACCATTTTGGGAGAGTCCAGGATGAATGAAGACATCTCGTACCTTGTAAGAACGAATTGCAACCTTTAAGAAATCATCGGTCTCGTAATTGATCCCAGTATGTCCAGCAGGGTCTGGCACTGAGTTTTTGTCGTCATTGTTGTTGTTGTAATAATCCTACCCATTATTGTCCTCTGAGGATATCTCCCTAATGTCTCCTATAAGCACATGACTGCAGCAGTGTCCCAGAGGAACAGTTTTGACAGATCTCTTTCATGGTCTGGACAGGCTGGTTTTGTTTTTGTTTTTTGTTTTTGTTTTTGTTTTGTGTTTTCACATGGATGCTTGATTATTGCACTTTATCTCTTGGTCTTTCCATTCTGTAGTTCAGAAATATCCAATCTGTAGAGGGTTATTTTGGGGAGGGGGGCATGAATTTTTGGTGTTTGTGGCTTATTTATTTATTTATACTTCCTGAGTGACATTTTAATGAATCAGTTGGCAGTGGCAGCATGAAGAGAGAACCCCAAAAGGGCACTTTTGCCAGGGTGAGAAGGGAGGGAAGGGATTTAGATGGCCAGGGTTTCTTGTTTATTTCCAGGAGAATTCATTGACTCCTTGAGGAGGGGGGATATGGAGGTGGGGAAGGAAAGTTTAAGCATGAGGTCCAGAAATTCCAAGTCACTGATGAGCATAGAAGATCAGCAGTGAATCCTTCATAGAGTGGGGTTTCTTCCAATCCAAGTTTCCTATCCCTTCTGCACACACCTTCTTGAGCATGAAGGAATTACAGAAGCTCTGGGAATCCAGCTGAATAGGAAGCCAAATCTTCAAAATTTTACCCTCAGCTGTGTGGAAAAACCATCGAACGTGTAATGTGTGCCAAAGTGATGTTTTAGAAAAAAATAGTTGATCTTTCTCTTACCTTTGTACATTTCACAGCAAGATTTCTAGTAATATACATAATTATGCCACGCTCATGGAGATGGGCTTCTCTTTTGTGGGGCTGTGTGTGTGTGTCTGTGTCTGTGTCTGTGTCTGTGTCTATGTCTGTCTGTCTGTCTGCATGAGTGTAACCATTGTTAGAAGGAGATCTGCCTTCTGAGAAGGAAGGGTTTAAGTCATAAGGGCACACATGGGAGGCGATAGGGGAGGTGGCATTATAGGGTAAATGGCTTCTTGCTTTGCCCAATTTTACTTTAAAGTAGCAGATGTAACAGGGTACACTTCACATGTGGTGCTAAAGTCCACGTCACCATGAACAGGAGTTGAAGATAGTTTGCTGAGGCTGATGTTCGGTGGAAATGACAAGTCCATGCATTGCTTTCCATGTATTCACCAGATGTCCATGTATTCACCAGATGTCGATGTGTCCACAGTTTGTCCTTAGTTGTTTTGCAGTATTTTGTTCATGTAAACAACAGTGTATCTTTTTCTGCATTATGAACATTTTTGTAACCAGTAAATGCGGCCATTTAGAGGTGATGAGTTAATGTTTGCTTTTAATGTTTCCTTATCTTTGTATGATTCTGTTTAGAAAAAATAAAATGGGATGAAATCTATTAAAAAACGTGCCCAGTGTCTCTGTTGAGTGGCTTCTTTCTGGAGTTTGTGTGGACAGGGTTTCTTTCAGCAGTCCCTCAATACTTTATTGCTGCTCTGAGGTAGCTTTGACTAGATTTGCCCAAGAGGAAAAAGGAGGCAGAAGAATCATCTCCCAAATCTGGTAAGAAAACAAATCCAAATAACCAAATCTTAATATATAATTTATCTGGATAATCTCTTACAAATGTAAAAGAAAAGAGGAAACATCTGGTCTTGTAGTTAGCCTTACAGTTTTGTCTCCTCCCTTCCCTTCATTCTTCGTTACCATTGTGATCTCTAAACCCTTCCCCTGTGCTCCTGAGAAAATCATTAGGCAAGTCCACTGCTTTCCAAAAATGAACTGTAAAAGTACTTTTTTTTTTCTTTTTTTTTTGGTGGGGCTGAGGGCGGAGATGTCAGCGAACAAGAGCTTCCTCAAAAATTCTAATTTGTGATTACAGAGTGGCATTATTTGCGTGGCACTGAACTTTGCAAAATTCAAGTATCTCAGCAGAATATTGATGAAAAAATGAAAGTTGGTGAATACTGAAACCTCCCTTCCTCCCCCCCCCCAAAAAAATCAGAACCACTGTTCTTGTTTTAGAAGTGAAGTAGAAAAAAAATGTCAATGAGTTAGATATCTTTAGAAAATGATATATCTGGTTTAGAGATAGAACAGGCTATTTAAATCCTGCACAAAATCAATATATGCATCTTATATTGCTTTATAATTATTTTTGTCTTTTAGGGAGAAAAATGTAAAGCAATGTGCTTTTTAAACTTTTTTATTGTGAACTTAACCATCCACTTCTTGTTGTAAAGTCATATCTGATTCTTTGTGACCCCATTTGGGATTTTCTTGACAAAGATATTAGAGTGGGTTGGCATTTCCTTCATTTTACAGATGAGGAAATTGAGGCAAACAGGATTGAGTGACTTGCCCAGGGTCACACAGCTAGTAAGTGTCTTGTCTGAGGCCAGATTTGAATTCACCAAGGTGAGTCTTCTTGAGTCCAGGTCCAGCACTCTTATCTATCCACTGCACCGCATAGCTGCCCTAGCTGATTCAAATTTTAATGTTTAAATTCCATTTAAATTTAAATCTCTTCCTTGGTTTCTTTCTAGCTAGATGCCCTTAATTTCTCTATTCATTATTAACATCTTTAAATTTTTTTTTCTTTTTTTGGTGAGGCAGTTGGGGCTAAGTGATTTGCCCAGGGTCACGTGGCTAGTAAGTGTCAAGTGTTTGGTCTGAGGCCGGATTTGAACTCAGGCCCTCCTGACTTCAGGGCTAATGCTCTATCCACCTAGCTGCCCCTCCCTCTTTAAATTCTTAATCTAACATCTAACATCCATGAACTAGTGCTTTCTTTGGAAACACCCAAAACTAGAAAAGACTATCTCAAGGAGACGGCAAGGTAGCTTCAAGGATAGCATACTGGACTTGGGGTCAGGAAGACCTGAGTTTGAATGCTGCCTCAAACATTTACTAACTACATGACCCTGGGAAAGTTACTTAACTTCTCTCAATTTGTTCCTCCTCCATAAAACGGGGATAATAATAGCACTTGCCTTTCAAGGTTGTGAGAACAAGATGTAAATGTTAGCTAATACTATTTTGCCCTCATAAAACAGCTCGTCCCCTCCTTTGCAAAGGTGTCTCATTAAGTCCTATGATCCATTTAAGACATGAGCCCTGCCCCCTTGAAACTTACTTTCTAAACTATTGTTAGGGCATGTTTGTGGGAGAAGTACACTTTTGGAAGTAGGGCCAGCATCAGAGAGGAAGGAAGTGCAGGACACAGTGTCCATCATGCTTCCACTCAAGTTAGAGCAAAATAGGGTCAAACTACTATCCAAAATAGTATTTAACCCTTTGACATGGGAAATTGGGCTTTGGCACCATTAGGCAGTGATGCATAGTGCATTAGCCTGAATCACTGGGGACTGGACCGTACTCGTGCTCAGTTACTTTGGAGTGGAAGAGAAAAACCAATTGACCTAGAAGGCATGTGCAGTTAGGAGGGGCAAGTGAACCAGAGTAAGGAAAGAGACAGGATTAGATTTCAAAGAAGAGCTTCAAATGCCAACATGGGTTCAGATGGAAGGAGGAATGAGATTTCAAAACACAGGATATATTTTTTTAATTCATTAGCCTCTCTGCTGAGGTTGACTGACAGAAGCAGGTATGATGCTGGACTGTGTAAGTTAATGACTATTGAGTACTAGAGAAAAAAAGGAGCTCAGACTCAGAAAGCCTAGAGTGGCCTTGGATAAAGGAGATGGTTATAACTTCTTATACACTACTGTTCACCTATCCTTATAGTACAGAACTGTCAGTTCAAATGGACAATGGAGAGAGTATTAATTTTGAAACTGATTCAGGTAAAGGATGGATCATTGTGATGACAGTGAATATTCATGTTGAGAAAATTATCATTAATGGGTATACCAAATGCATTTCTTTTTTTTCCTCCTCCCCCTCCTTGTTCTGTGATCCTTTGCTCATAATTGTATAAGACCTACCTATCATCCAGAATGAATAAATGGAGAAATAATTAAATTTAAATTAAAAGGCATTAGGTACATACTGTGTGTCAGATGCTGTACCAAAAAAAAAAAGTTTCTTTCCTCAAAGAGCTCACATTCTAATGGGGGGTGGGGAAGAGACAGGTATGCAACAGGCACCCCAAAACAGCGTAAGACGGTGAAAAGAAAAATGGATTTGGAGTCGGGGAGTTTGGGTTCAATGAAAAAATCATGACAGGATATGAACATCTCACTTTAGGAAAAAAATGCAAACTATTTACAACCCTATGGAAGATGGTTCCAAATCACACATAATGAGAGTGCAAAACAACTCTTGTTTTCACCTCACAACCAGCAAATTGGCAAAGATGGCAAAAGATGAAAATAGTATTGAAAGGACTATGGGAAGATAAGCGCTGTCAGATACGCAGGTGGGGGTGTGAATTGGTTCAGCTGTTTGGAAATATGCTTTTAAAAATTACTAAAATATACATTTAAATATATAAATTTTACCTTTAGAAGTTGTACATAATTTCCTTTTCACATGCAACAATTTTTTTAAATTTTATTCCATAAATTTAAAAAAAAATTTAAAAAGTGACTAAAATATTCATACTTTATGACCCAGAAATCCCACTGCTAGGCACATACCCCAAGGAGAGTTTCTCTTCTATCTTAATAGGTCAAAGACAATAATAAAGTTTGTCCCATCTCCATCAAACCATTCATGTCAGCACTTTTTAGCAAAGAATTGTAAGCAAAGCCAGTTGATTGGGGAATAACCAGGAGTGCAGTAGAACCAGCTTAGCTTTTGAGAGCTGATTGTCAAATTTTTCTTGGTGTATTCACACCTCAGAAATCTGCAAACTACAAATCTGGGCCTGATTTAATTTTTTCTAAATTGTCTAAGCTGTTGTCTAGACATTTTCTCTGATGGAGAAAATGTTAATAATGCAAATTAAACTTAAAAGTGTGTTACTAATACTTTTTTCCTTCTTCTGGAGAGCCAGTTGTTAAACATTTACCAGTACACCCCCAGGAATGACCAAATAAATCATGATAGATAAATAAAATAGAATGTTACTGTGCCTGTTTAAAAAATCTAATTCCACTTCACTAAACTATGAAGTTTTCTTTTTGGCCTATGAAAAAAAGAAGTAATGAATAAGAAGATTACAGAAAATTATGGGAAAGCTTCCATGAAATACAATAATAAGAGCTAGGAAAATAGTACACACAGTGATTACAACAACTAAACACAATTTAATTTATTATAACGGTCATGTCCATTACAGAGTGAATTGATATGTTGGTTTTGCTGAATTCCTTTTTTTATTTATAACTTATGTTATAAGGGATACTTATTTATGGAGGTCTTAGAGAAGAGATTTATTTGGAAGATGATGCAAAAAGCTAAAATGCAAACAAGCCAAATCTGAAAATCTTTATAATGATCAAACTTGGCCCCAGACAAGAGTAACCTTGTCTTACTCTCCCTTGAAGAGTTAGTAAACTATTGGTCTGGAATATTATTTTATGGTTTTGTAGATATAAGACTAAGGAGTCTTACAAGACAATCAAGTCTGAACCTCATTTTGCAAATGAGGAAACTGAGTCCCACAAAAGCTGAGTGATGAACATGGCCAAGATCATGCCTGTAAATGAGTGGCGCAGTCAAGAGTTGAACTTGAGTCTCTAAGTTCAACTACACCCAGCTGCCTGTCTTGAGAAGCTGATTTTTAGAAGCAAAGTGCACCTACATTTATCCTATTGTATTTAATCTTCTTTGATTCTACTTTTTGATATCTTTCTGGATCTGGACTATTCATGATCTCCAAGCTTCATGCCATTTGCAAATTTGACAAGTTGCCATCTTTGCGTGTATCTAAACCAGTAATTATAATGTTGAATAGCAAAGGGTCAGGTCAGAACTTTGGGAGCATGCCGCTAGATGGCTTCCTCCAAGGTCATGCTGACTATTCTTTGTGTATGATTATTCAACCAGTCCCATAGTCGCATAATTTTACTATCACCACTTGAGAGGCAGCATGGTATAGTGCAGGAGTTGGCAAATTGGGCCAGAGGGCCAAATTCAGCCAATTGCTGTGTACAAGAAAGCTAAGATTGGCTTTAAGATGTTTACATAAAGTTTCAGTATTACATTAAATATATTATACATAAATATATTTAATATTTTTAAAAATTATATAAAAACCATTCTTAGCTCTCTAACTGTTCAAAAACAAGCCTTGGGCCATAGTTAGCTAACCCCTGGTGTGGTGGATAGACCATCTCGGAGGAAGGTCTGAGTTTAGATGAGGCTTCAGACACTAGCTGTGTAACCCTGGGCAAGTCACTGTGCCTCACCTTCCTCATCTGTAAAGTAAGGCAGTTGGACTCAGAGCCTAAACAGAAATAATATTACAGTGGAAGTAATTCCTCATCCAACAG